ATGCTTATTTTCATACCAAAATAATGACTCAATTCTTCTTTTAGGACTTTATGTTGATGATATCATTATTTGTAATACTGATTCTAAAATTTTAAATGATATATATTTCATTCAAGTAACATTGCTTCCCCAGTTCCCCAGCTACAAATCAATCATGAACCAACCCAGTCCCAAGTCAAGTCATCAACCCTCCAACATAAATGGCTCAGTCCACAACTAATCTCTCTCATAAAAAATATAGGATACAATATGAAAACATTTTTTATTTTCCACTTAATTCTCCTAATTTACACGCTAACAATGCCCTTCTCCACCGTCCCGCTAATCATGCCTATCTACATAGGAATATACGCACAAGAAACTGATAGACTTTTTCAACAACAAGAAGCCATTTTCCAACTACTTACCATCATCTGGATTTTGACAGAAGAAACCGTTCAACGTCTATTTAGAACTCCCCCACCACCTACGTCCTGACAACTATTTCCCTTACATCACAGATAGCTTATCCCCACCTTAAATTTTTTGTGCTCCACGTGTTGTACCATACTACCCCGCAACTATCTCCCTTAAAATCAATTGTCTTGTCGCAAGGCTGCACAGTGATTCATTTGTCAACCTATGTACCCACACGTTTTTTTTTTTTTTCTCACCCCAAGTACTCGAGACGGGTACCATTGTCCCACTTTTGTAAATATCGTTATATTTTAATTTTGTTTCACCATTTTTTCTTTTCACACTTCTCAACTTCTGCAATTGTTTTCTCTCAACAACCACGAAATTACCTTGCCTTTCACCAAACCTTACCATCTTAGCGGATCTTTTCACCACCAGCACGACCCATGTCTTTGTCAGTTTTTTTTTTTATGTGATGTTTTTCTTTGTTTTTTTATGTTCATTGTTTTTTTTACACTTGCAGAAATTCCCTTGATGTAGTTTGTCCATACACAAAGCTTAAATACTCTGCAGGCATTTTTTTTCCACTCACTCACCATCGCGCTATTTCATTTTTTTTTTTGCACCCAAGACCGCTAAGTGGAGAACAATAGGTTTTTTTTTGATCCCTTGTTAACTAGTTCCAAGACGTCCTAGCAAAACGCTTTGCAAACCCATGTTCTCAAGCTGATCCTGCTGTCAACCAATTTAATCACCATGTTGTCATTCTTTTAACAGTTCCTACTTCATCTTTCCATGCTGTCACCTTGCGTCCGCAACTTCTTACCACCCTGTAAATAGCTTTGTTTGTTTACCCAATTAATTTTCCCAAAAAATTACTTCCCATCTACCAGAATTTAACTCAGGCTGCCCCTTTTTAAATTCTTCAACGCAGGCAGGCCCATCTGTGGTAATTTAAGAATCATAAACACCTGTGTAAATACTCACCACCTCTTCTTACACCCCCTACTCAAGATGGAACTTTTAATCATTGTACCCAATCCTCCTTTAATCAATTTAAATTTGTATGTATCTTTTTGTGTGATCAATTAAATAAAGAGGTACATCTAGAAAGAACTGTGGAAACCAAAACTAAACTACCAAAACCGAAACCTGAGATCAATCGCCCAGACACCGCGGCGCCCGATGACGTAATGCTTGAGCATATAAAAAGGGCTTGCCCCGCAGCCAATGATTTCAGATCAGCAGATGCAAGATAGCAGCATCAGACAGATTGTTAGTAAGTCTTTGTGAACGGTCTCTGCGTTCCCTCTCTCTGATGCCTCGGTTTCCCCTTTGATTCGTCTCTGTGTGCTTTACCACTCACCACCATGACGACTGCGCAATCACCTTCTTTCCCCGACGACTCAATACAACAGACCAGACCACCCGAATTACCACATACGAGGTGTGTTCAAAAAGTATCGCAAATTTTGAATTTTCGCGGATTACGTATATTCGAATTTCGATCTTTTTGTGGCTTTATGTTGGATACTCATGTCTCTCGCTTATGCCGACAAGCTCGGCCATTTTGAATGTTCACTTAATTGTTGACAGCTGCCTTGCTTGCAGGTGTTTTGGATCGTCTTCGATTTTGACCTATTAAAAAAAATGGATCAAAGAACATATATTAAATTTTGTGTGAAAAACGAAATTAAGTGCGCGGATGCATTCCGAATGTTGACTGTGGCATATGGAGAAGCTACCTTGGGCCGAAAGAACGTTTATCGGTGGAACAAAATGTTCTCAGAGGGCCGAGAAGATGTGAACGACGAAGAGCGTGCCGGACGCCCGAGCACTTCAACAACAGACGAAAAAATTAATGAAGTGGAGAAAATGATATTGGCCAATCGTCGAATCACCGTTAGAGAAGTTGCTCGTGGCTGTGGCTCGTGCCATTCGATTTTTTCAATGATTTGGGCATGAGATGAGTCGCTGCGAAATTCGTACCAAAATTGCTCAATTGCAACCAAAAAACAGCATCGCATGAACATTGCTAATGAGATGTTGGACTCTGTCCGCTACGACCCAAATTTGCTCCAGAGGGTCATAACTGGTGACGAAGCGTGGGTTTATGGTTATGACGTGGAAACCAAAGCTCAATCATCTCAATGGAAGCTGCCGCACGAACCAAGACCGAAAAAAGCGCGCCAAGTTCGGTGGAATGTAAAAGTTTTGCTGACAGTTTTCTTCGATTGCAGGGGCGTGGTGCATCATGAGTTCTTGCCACAGGGTAGAACGGTCAATAAGGAATATTACCTGCAAGTTATGCGCAATTTGTGCAAAGCAATCTGCCAGAAACGCCCGGATTTGTGGAAGAACAAAAATTGGCTTTTGCACCACGATAACGCCCCTGCTCACACATCGTTGCTTGTGCGCGACTTTTTGGCCAAAAACAACACACTAATGATGCCGTAGCCACCGTATTCCCCAGATCTGGCCCCCTGTGACTTTTTCTTGTTCCCTAAACTGAAGAGGCCCATGAAAGGACGACGTTACGCTACGCTTGACGAGATAAAGACGGCATCGAAGGAGGAGCTGAAAAAGATTTTAAAAAATGATTTTTTGAAGTGCTTTGAAGATTGGAAAAACCGTTGGCACAAGTGTATAATATCTCATGGGGATTACTTTGAAGGGGGACAAAATAGGTATTCATGAATAAATAAATTAATTTTTGAAAAAACACAAAGGTCGCGATACTTTTTGAACACACCTCGTATATCCTATTAATCTGTGAATAAATATATATCATCATTATAAACAACAAGAATAAGATGTAGAATGTAAACAACGTGGTGATGTAAAAAGATCAGTATAAAGTTTAATAAACAATTTATACAAATCTCATTCTTAATTATCAAAATATAAACACCAAACATGGTGTCAGAAGTGTTTATTTTCAAATTATAAAATATTGGTGCGAATTAGTTTGTCGAATACACGTGAGTACTAATATTTGAATTTGATTGTTTGAAAATTTTGATTTTGGAAATGTAAAGTTACATTTTTATATAATAATAATTTTCTAATCTTTTGAGTAACACTATATCTCGTAATATTTATATATTTTAATGTTTAATATAAAATATTTTAAGATGTCAAATATTCCTGTACCAGCACCAATATTAATAAATAGCCAGGCGGAAGAAAATTGGAGGTTTTTTAAAAGCCAATGGGACAATTATCAGGTGGCTACTGAATTAAATAAGAAAGATAATAATGTTATAAGAGCAACATTCCTATCACTCATTGGAAAAGATTGCTTCAACGTATTTTTGAATCTGGACTTGAAAGAAGATGAAAAGAATAGCCTACCTAAGATTATCGAAGCATTGAATAACCATTTTACTCCACAAAAGAATGTCATATACGAACGGTATATTTTTAATACATCGAATCAAGAAGAAAACAAGGGTATTGATAACTACACAAATTTCTTGTGAATATGATATACTAACAGAAGAACTAATCAGAGATAGAATAGTATTGGGAATCAAAGATAATAGAGTCAGAAAAAAATTGCTAATGGAACCAAAACTAAACTTATCTTCGGCTATCGACATATGCAGGACAGCTGAGGTCACGGAACAACAGATAACCAAGTTGACTGGCCAAGAATCAGAAGACGTGAAGTGGAACAGAAAATATGAACGAAAAAAGGAAGCGACCAAAGCTACAAATGAAACATTTACTGTGGGTCGAATCATAGGAAGGCTTCATGTCCTGCGTATGGTAAGATATGCACATGGTGCAACAGAAAAAATCATTTCTCAAAAGTATGCAGATTTAGAATTCAAAAACCAAAACAGTTCACGCCAGTCATCATGGAGTAGCAGCATCGCTGGCCAAAGCTCGACAAGCAATTTTTTGGCCCGGGATGAATCAATCTATAAAAGAAACAGTTGAGAAGTGCAAAGCCTGTCTAGCATATATCAACCAAACCAAACAAAAGAAACCCTTATGTGCCATGAAACTCCCATTTTACCATGGAATAAAATCGAAATGGATATTTTCTCAATAGAGACGACTCAATATCTTATCACTGTAGATTATTATTCCGGCTTTTGGGAACTAGATATACTAGAACATACTACTTCAGAATCCATAATCGAATGCTGTAAAAAGAATTTCAGCCGACATGGAATACCTGAAACACTAATAACAGATAACGGACCGCAATTCATTAGCCGTGAATTTCAAAATTTCTAAAAACATGGAAAGTAAGTGCAAATTACCAGCTCACCGTATCATAGCCATCAAATGGCAAGGCGGAGTCAGCAGTCAAATATGCAAAGATGCTTGTTAAAAAAGCTAAACATGAGCAAGAAGATCTGTGGGTTGCCATTCTAGAATGGCGGAACACCCCATTAAAAGATCTTGGATTCAGCCCAAACCAGGCTCTTATTTCCAGGAGAACACAAACCCTGATTCCTATTCATAAAAACTTGGTAAAACCAGAAGTTCAACTTAATGTTTATGAAAAAATAGAAAAAAGAAAAACAGAAATGAAAAATCTATATGATAAACAGGCAAGGGACTTAACTAAATTGAACCCAGGACAAAGTATAAGTGTCAAATTGAAAGAAAAAGATAAGTGGAGAATGGGTAAATGCATCTCTGCCCAAGATCCCCGATCGTATATAGTTGAAGGTCATTAATACAGAAGAAATACAAGGGGGGATCAATAAATAAGGTTAATTATCTTATTTTTAAAAATTAAAAAAGCAAAAATAATTTAAACCACAGAATATTAAAATATAACATCGAGAGACTATTTAAGGTGTTCTGTTCTTTTTTCCCACGCGCGGCGCGAGACTTATAAATAAACTAAAATGGAAGCTCCCTTGAAGGATTGCACCACGCTTGAACAACGTGCAGTTATTCGTTTCTTGAATGCAGAAGGTATTCAAACATCTCAAATATGCCAAAGAATGAAAAATATGGTGAGACTTGTTTGTCTTAAAAAAAACATTTATTAATGGGTTAACGAGTTCAAAAATGGACAAATTACATGTTCCGATATTGAGCGACCTGGACGACCATGTGTTACAGCGACGCCAAGCACGATAAATGCGGTTGAAAACTTAATTTTGGAGGATAGAAAAATATCCATTTTTACCATAGCCGACAATTTGAATATAAGCTATGGAACTGTGCACACCATTTTTAATGAACAATTGCAATTTAGAAAAATATGCTGCAGATGGATTCCACATTTCCTTAATTTGGACCAAAAACTTAACCGTATTCGGGTTTCAAAGGCTCTGTTAAAGCAGTATGAAGAGGAAGGTGATCATTTCCTTGACCAAATTGTAACTGGAGATGAGAGTTGGTGTTATCATTATGATCCTTTGACAAAATGTACATCTATGGATTGGAAACGAGGCGACTCTCCAAGACCAAAAAAAATCAGGTCTCAACATTCGGCCGGTAAAGTTTTGTTAACAATTTTTTGGGATGTTGATGGACCAATCTGTCTTGATTTTTTATCCTCAAGGCAACGTATGAACAGCGACCTTTATTGTGACATTCTTGTAAATAAGCTAAAGCCCGGTATAAGAAACAAAAGAAGAGGGAGGCTTAGTAAAGGTGTTCTCTTCCTTCATGATAATGCAAGGCCGCATACATCATGTAAAACTGTATCTACAATCATTAAATTAGATTTTTTTGTTTTTTTTGCTTATCCCTAGTACACGTGGTACAGGCCATGATAATCATGGTGGGTAGTTAGCGACTGCTTTTTTTTTTTTACTGTAAGCGCACCACATGTCTACACATGTGAAAAGCAGTTCGACTTTGCACTTACAAATGTGCCAGAGCCCCGTTTGGTTACTTGCACTCGCTGGTGGAGTTGAAGTTTTAGAACACACATCCTGCATATAGTCCAGACCTAGCCCCCTCCGACTATTTCCTTTTTGGACTACTAAAGAAGGAGTTAAAGGGAAAGCGATTTGACTCGGATGAAGATGTCCAGAAAGTGGTGCAAGATTTTTTTCACACTCTTCCTAAGAGTGCCTATAAAGAGGGTATTTACAAGTTTCCAGAACGATGGAGACGATGTATAGAAAGCCAAGGTGATTATTTTGAATAAATCAAGTCCTAATTTTAATATCGTTCTTTTTTTTTTAAATAAATTATAATTCACCTTATTTATTGATCCCACCTTGTAGAAGAAACATTAGAACTTTACCATCAGGCTTAAACCTTAATGGAGAGTACACGGACCAAAACCCACAGGGTGAAGATTTTGAGTCAAATGAAAATAAAGTAGATCTGATCTGTGAATCCTCCACTTCAATGGAAACACCCCGTTCCACCGACTCAGGCCCACGGAGGACAAGATCTGGTCGACCAATCCGAACACCATCAAGATACAGCGACTATGTTCTGGATACTTAAGTGATTATTTACTCTCTTATATCTCTTTTATACACACATTAGTTATATAGCTATTATCTCATATACACTATCTTTTTGTTTTTAAAAATAGGGAGATGTTTGGGACTAAATATATATATCCTATTATTCTGTGAATAAATATATATCATCATTATAAACAACAAGAATAAGATGTAGAATGTAAACAACGTGGTGATTTAAAAAGATCAGTATAAAGTTTAATAAACAATTTATACAAATCTCATTCTTAATTATAAAAACTATAAACACCAAACATTAATATAATATGGTGCAAAGTTCCCTAGTAAACTGCGGCCCAAGGAGAACTTTAACCAAACAGGAACCTTCTCAACTGGACTTAAAATAATGTCTCAGCCACAGAGGCCTTCATTTGTAAATTCTTAACAAACAATACTGTCGTCAAGGCAACAACAATTTTTAAATCAAAGTCCAACAAGAGGTCAGTCAAGGACTGGGGTGAGCATCAACTTCATCATCAGAATGAATTCTGGCAAGGATATGGAGAGAGATCAATCATCTTTCACCGAAGTAGTGGTTGCCAATACTGTGGACTGAGTGACCATCTCTCCCTGGCAGAACTTGACACAATATAGAGCCATTGAAGTGACTGCATTCCCAGAATTTATGTTGCTTGTACTGAAGGAGATTGTAGGAACAGAGTAGGGGCATACAAGAGAAGTTGGCACTAACACCTTTTTTTTGTTTATAGGTGGGATCTGGGGTAGGAAAAATCCACAAACGTCTCCAACTTGGCATATTGTTTCATCACTCTCCTCCAGGAGATTGGGGGTCAGGAGATATACACCTCAACACCATCATCTCAAAGCACCCAGCTGTGGATAACCTGATCAGGACTACCATGAAGAGCACTGCAGGGCTAGGGATGCCTTTCTGATCCTCATGCCTGGAGAGCTCTTTGCTCCTCCAGCACGGGTGGTGGCACTCTAATACATTAGAGGACTCACCTAACTAACTCTCTTTATGTCATAAGACAGTGGAGATAATCTCTAGCATGTTATCTGCTTTATATGTATGTGTCCCAGCCAGTCAGACCTTAAAGGAGCAATCACCCAAGAGTTTGACAACCCAATTGATAGTAGGAATATTCATATTCTTTTAACCAAAAGAAAGAAACAACAAAATGAAACCTACTATGAATATTTTTTTTTAATATGAGAGAACTTGGAAGTCAAGGCAATTTTGAGAAAGCAGTCATAATTCAATATGTGATTGATGGAATTCCCGACCAAGACAAAATTTTGGGGGTCATCCTGGATCGAGATTTCGGATTTTTGCTTTATTTTACAAATGACGATAAAGCAAACGACGCCAAGCCTAAAAGAAATATGCCAAAACAAAAAACAATGGCAAAAAAAAAAAAAAGAAAGGAAGATATTCAGTTGAAGTAATCTTTTTTTAAAAAATGGATAATTTTTAAAAATGGATTAAACATAGGTATATTTTTAGCATTTATTTTTTATAAATTAAAAATTATTTTTACCATCAAATTTAAAGCCCCCAGCAACTTGCTTACATTGCAATCCTTTGATTTGAAATCATCACCCAAAAAAACATTTTAGCTTTTAATATGGAAAAAGTAAAATCTATATTGGTTAAAGCCGAGGAAGATTTAAAACAAGAGATTTTAAAAGAACAGGTGAAGATGTCACATCAAAGTAGCAATGTTATATTTTTTACAGAAGCCATTGAAGGCATTCCAGAAATTGATGGTACAGCAGTTCCAATTATAAAATGGATACAGGAAATAGATGATAATACCATTTTGGTTGGCTGGACAGGTCTTCATACCTTAGTGGTTGCAAAAAAGTTGCTGACTGGAGTAGCCAAATTGAGGTCACAACCAACCTTCTCAACTTGGCCAGACCTAAAAGAAGCAATCACCCATGAGTTTAACAACCTGATGTGTTACGCAGACTTTGACTTTATCATCGGCGTTGACGTCACAACTAGGCTTTGAACTTCCTATTTTGGTTTTGTCACTCGCATGTTTTTATAACTTTTGTATTGGGAGACAAGTCATTCCTTAAATAAATATATTTTGGTTCGTATAAACTATATTAGTTTATAATGATTGGGATGTCTTCGTAACTACAAATAAGTGAGTACAAAACAACTTGGAATTTATTAATAGAAACATCGTATTTTTTCTAAGACTATCACAATTGATAGTAGGTATATTCATATTCTTTTAACCAAAAGAAAGAAACAACAAAATGAAACCTACTATGTATATTTTTTGAATATGAGAGAACTTGGATGTCAAGGCAATCTTGAGAAAGCTGTCATAATCCAAAATGTGATTGATGGAATTCCCAACCAAGAATTCAATAAGTCTATCTTATATGACTCCACACATCTTAATCTGACTTTAAACTAAAGAATTACAAAGTGATGGAATCTAAGTCAAAGACAAACAACACTATAAGCAAAGTGATTCCAAAACCAATTAATGCTAAGGAATCAAAATGCTTCAACTGTGGTAAAAGAGGTCATCTGTCACATGAGTGTAAATTCAAAGATTTGGGGGAAAATGTTTCAATTGTAATTCTTTTGACCACATAGCAAGTCAATATCCATCTAGAAGTGATACAACACCCTTGTGAAACAAACAAAGCCACAAGATAAAGACAAAATTATTTGGTTGAAGCCACAAAGAAAGGACAAATGTATAAGGACATAATAACCACAAACTCCAAGCACTGATAGACACAGGGAGTGAATTGAATTCTAGTTGAGCAGTATCTTGCAATAAAATGAAATACATCCTCATTTTATAACTCTCTTCCAAAGTAAACAACCTTTCAGTCTGCTGAACTATGTGCTTCCTTCAAATACGCAGTGGCTTCCAGCGCGCCTATGTCACGGGACGACGTGGCATTGAGGTGCTTCCAACCACTAGAAGCGCTGTACCTTTCCCTTCACTTCCTGTTTATGTCTTCCCTTGTTCTGGCTGCTTGCTATGTATATTTTGCTAAGTATATTGCGATATATTAAAACTTATATATTCCAATCTATTCTGCATCTGATTGAACCACCGATCCAACACAGTCTAATTCTTTATTAGAATTACTTCTTTTCATATTTATTACCATATTTAACCCTTAAGTACTCGCGCGGGGTGTATCACACCCCAAGCTATCACTTTACCTCAAGAAAATCATTAAATCCTTAACCAAAATCTTCCAATTTTTTCAATAGCTTAATATTTCAATGTGCCAAATAGACATGTCAAATTTCAACAAAATTAATAGAGGGAATATATTTGTAATTTATTCTTTTTGCTAGAATGGGGTGTGTCACACCCCGCGCGAGTACTTACGTAACAAAGTTTTGTAATCAGCCCGAATATGATACTGCTGAATTCTCACGCACCATGAGTCATTTCCCCTACCTTTCAGTGTCAATTTAGTTTCACTTTGCCCATCATCTAAGCTTACTTTGATCCAATATTATAATGGATAGCAAAAATATTCAATCACTTTTTAGCTTGTTTGATGAGGAAGAAGAAGATTTTGATGAGCTAGATGATGATAACTTTAGTGATGATGAAGAATATATCCCCCATAGCTCAGATTCAGAACAAGAAGACGATGAACAAGAACCACATCAGGATTCTACGTACTTCTTTGGAAGAGATAAAATGACCAAATGGAAAAAGGAAGAATGGAGAACATCAAGGGTACGTACAAGAGCTATAAATATTATTACACACTTACCTTGTTCTAAACAATTTGGTAAGAACACTCCAACTCCATTAGAAGCTTTTTTGAAATTTATTAGTATTGACATAATCAAAAAAATAGTTGAATACACAAATATTTTTATTGAGACCATCAGGCCAAATTATAGCAGGGAGAGAGATTGCCGCAATACAGATGAAAATGAAATCCGTTGTCTGCTCGGACTCATAATAATAATCGGAAAAAAATCGTGCATCGCATTTGCATTTCAAAGAAATTTGGAATGCAAATGGCACTGGTATAGAAATATGCAGAGCAGCAATGGCCTATGAACGATTTTTGTTCCTTTTGCGAGTAATTCGATTTGACAATGTCCTTACTAGACAGATCAGAAGAGATAATGACAAATTTGCTGCCCTGAGGGAAATTTTTGAAATGTTTGTTGCCAACTGTAAACAAATGTATTCCCCTGGCGAATATTTAACAATCGATGAAAAGCTTATTCCTTTTAGAGGGAAATGTAATTTTCGCCAATACATACCAAACAAACCTGCAAAATATGGCTTGAAAATATACATGATGTCTGATGCACACACGTTCTATACTGTGAATATGGAGCCGTATGTTGGTAACAATCGTGGACCTTTTTATAAATCCAATGCTTCTGATGATGTTGTCAAAAGATTGGTGGAACCAGTATCAGGAACAAAACGAAATATTACCACTGATAACTGGTATACAAGTTTCCCACTAGCTCAAAGTTTGTTGACTGAACATAACTTGACCCTCGTTGGAACTTTGAAAAAAAATAAAAAGGAAATTCCTGTAGAGTTTTTACCCAACAGGAATAGACCTATCTTTTCTTCAATTTTTGGCTTCAATGAAAATACAACTCTTGTATCATATGTCCCCAAGAAATCAAAATCAGTTATCCTATTGTCAACAATGCATTCAACAATGACAATTGACGAGGACACAGGAGATAAAATGAAGCCGGAAATAGTCACTTTTTATAACCAAACCAAGATAGGCGTTGATGTTGTTGACCAAATGTCGGGGACCTACAGTGTAGGACGACGCACAAGAAGATGGCCTCTGTGTATTTTCTTTGATCTCGTCAATGTTGCAGAAATAAATGCACAAGTACTTTACAACGCAAATCACCTGCAAGAAGAACCCATTAAAAGACGCCACTTTTTGGAAAAGATCGGACTGAGTTTGATAGATGAACATATCAAAGAACGCCTTTGCATTGTGTCACTACCTAAAGATATAAAACTTGCTCTTCGAAGGATAATTGGAGTGGCAAATGAACAAACAGTAAGTAAAAATGTTATTTACCAATATAAATAAACATGATAAATTTTATGATGGTTTTTTTTAGGTACCAGGACCATCAGAACCACTTTCAAAAAAGCAAAAGTGATGCCATCTTTATGACCGATCTAAAGATAGGAAAACAAAGACTACCTGCAAAAATTGAAAAAGAAATATCTGCAATAATCATTCCTTCATTATGTGTGCAGAATGCTTTGAAAATTAATGAAAAAAATATAAGATTTATTTCTGTGAATAATGAATATGCATAAAAATTGTAAATGCTTATAGGATTTAGAAAACATGTACAAGCACTGGAATAATTAAATATTTTATTATTTTATTTACATTTTAATTAATATCCATTCTTTTCTCTATAATATAAATATAAATACGTTGTATTTGGCTTACATTATATATATTAGATTTAGGTTTATATTTTGGGGTGTGATACACCCCGCGCGAGTACTTATGTAACAAAAAATGCCGCGAGTACTTAAGGGTTAATCTTATTTTTATATAATCTTATTATTATAATTTAAATATTATTAATATTTATCTCATTTTTTTTACAAGCGAGCATCAAAATGGACATAGAATCATCTGATGCAACTGGAGACTGAAGTGCTAAATGTCCGCGAACCAGTGAGATTCCTTGAATTTAGCCAGCTCAATGTCATCCACCAGAAGATCATTGTTGTATAATGTGTTTAAGATTTAATATTATGATCCATTTCTATGAATAAGTATTAATAAATACTCTGTGAATGGATCATCATCAAATTGTATGTTATTGTGTTTTTTGTTGTTAAAAAGTAAACAATGTGATGCTCCCTGTAAAAGTTATGTAATAAATATAACTAATAATTATATTGGCTTATCACATATAATAAAGCGTCTGTTCGTTGAAGCCGAATAGGATTGGTCCATTCTGTGTCACGTGTTCAAGTTACGTAGTTAAGTGACGTGGCCGGCTGTAGGTCTGTTTGGTTTTTGTTTTCATCCTTTATTTTATTCTATTCTGACCTTATAGTCATTTTTTGCTTTCGGCAATTTATTCGGTGAATATTTGAGGAATAATATTTTTAAATAATTTTATTTTTTTAATTTAGCTTGATTATTTTATTTTATAAACAATGGTTCCTAAAAGAGCCCTTTCAATTGTTGAGGCCATCGAAGCAAAGCAACGTCTTATTGAACAGCAGCGACAAAGACGTTTAAATTCACCCGTAAGAGAAAGGCATAATGAACAACAACGGCAATAACGAATGAATATGAGCGAAAATCAAAGAGCCCTTCAAAGGGAAAACAGTAGGCTGAGGATGCAAAGAATTTGACAGGGAGATAATCTACCTTTGCCAACAGGGACATGTTTCGAGGAAGATCAAATTCCCCTGCACCTTTGTGGCCAACTTGATCAAGTTTGCCCAAAATGTAGAGCAAAGTATTTAGAATTGGAACAAACGACATACAGTAAAACTTTTCATAAATGCTGTTCCAAAGGAAAAGTCAAACTTGAACCGATTCAAACCTCTGAACTACTTGAAAGTTTAATGACTGGAAAGCATCAACTTTCAAAGAACTTCATGGAAAACATCCGTTCCGTCAACAGTACCCTAGCATTCGCTTCAATGGGAGCAAACCTTGCACCTCCTCCTGGATATGGGCCCTATTGTTCCCGAATCAACGGACAGATTTATCACCGCTCAGGTGCCTTGCATCCTGAAAATGATGATCATGTTGCAATGATGATCATGCAAATGTCATTATTTATGATGAAGCTACCATGGCACCAAAAGATGCTCTTAGATGCATTAATAATCTCTTGAAAGAAATCATGCAAAATGAAAAACCACTTGGTGGTAAAACCATTGTCTTTGGAGAGGACTTCCGACAGACTTTGCCTGTTGTTCCACATGGAACTCAAGCTGCAATTGTAGATTCAAGTATTAAATTTCATCCTCTATGGAAAAAATTTAATATTTTGAAATTAGACAATAATATTAGGGCGCCATCTGTTATCAAATTATAAAACTATTTTAGTGGCGTATTATTGCTCGAAGCATATTATATATTTATAATTATATTTAATTCTGCTGTCCTAAAAGCTTATGTCCATAGTTCTTCTAAAATACCCATTCCAAGATTCTTACAACGGTCACCTATAAAAGGAAGTTCCAAAAATGCAATATAACAGCGGTATGGTAGATTAAACTGGCGAAACCGCTGGGAGGGTTCACCACTGATGAGCCAGGCCCTCCCTTTAATTTTTCATCGCAGTAAGGACAGTAGAAATTGTTTTATTTTAAAAAGAATAATACGCCACTAAAATAGTTTTATAATTTGATAACAGATGGCGCTCTAGTACATCATAACATTATTGTTCTAATAAAAGACACAATTTGATATTTGCGGAAGAGCGATTGCTCGAAGCATATTATATATTTATAATTATATTTAATTCTGCTGTCCTAAAAGCTTATGTCCATAGTTCTTCTAAAATACCCATTCCAAGATTCTTACAACGGTCACCTATAAAAGGAAGTTCCAAAAATGCAATACAACAGCGGTATGGTAGATTAAACTGGCGAAACCGCTGGGAGGGTTCACCACTGATGAGCCAGGCCCTCCCTTTAATTTTTTCATCGCAGTAAGGACAGTAGAAATTGTTTTATTTTAAAAAGAATAATACGCCACTAAAATAGTTTTATAATTTAATAATATTAGGTCAATTGACCCAGAGTTTAGTGCCTGGCTTTTAAAGCTTGGAAATGGCGAGCTAACAAATGATCTTGGCTTAGACTCCGATACATTTGAAATACCATCTGAAATGGTTTGCAATGGCGATTTAGTCAAAGAAATTTATGGAGATAAATTGCTTCCTTCTGACTTTGAACAGTATACCGATAAGGCTATACTTTGTCCCAGAAATGTGGATGTTGATGATATCAACAACCGAGTTTTAGATATCCTTGAAGGTGACTCCATAACATATTTCAGCTCAGACTCAATAGATGATGCGACACCTGAAGATAATGAGAGCTATCCACCGGAATTTCTCAACAGCCTTAACCCTTCGGGAATGCCACTTCATAAGCTGAAGCTATAAGTTGGAGCAATCATAATGCTTCTTCAAAACTTAAACACAAAGCGAGGTCTTTGTAACGGGACGAGATTAGTAGTAACTAAATTGTTACCTAATTTAATTATTGCAAAAGTTCGGACTGGCACTGCAGTAGATCAATCTGTATTTATTCCGAGAGTTTACTTGGCCCCAATACATTCTGAGATTCCTTTCATTCTCAGAAGGGGACAGTTCCCTGTAAAATTAGCCTTCGCTATGACAATAAATAAATCACAAGGCCAAACCCTTGAAATGGTTGGCATCTATTTACCTGAACCAGTTTTTAGCCATGGTCAGTTATATGTTGCTTTTTCTAGGGTGAAAAGCTCTAAGTGTGTTAAAATAAAAATAATCCACGGAAGCAAGCAAGGAAGGCTTCTTAAAAATAGTTCAGCTTGCTTCACCAAAAATGTTGTTTACAAAGAAATTTATTCATTGTAAGTTCACCTCTTTTAAAGTAAAAATGTTAATTAAAAAAATATCAATAAAATGACCCGAAAGGGAAATTGTTGCAACGCTCGGAAGGGGATCGATCCCTGACGGACCATGAACGTTATTTTACCTCGAACGCTTCCGATTACATATCATTAAGTATCAAAAAGGAATGTGAGAAATAAAATTAGGAATCCACCTGCTCTAGCCGATCCCGTCCTTGGACGGGCTTTTCTACTAGTTTATTAATAAAAGATTAATAACAAAAGGAAGATCAAAAATAATACAGTCATATGAAAAATGACTGATATAGCCAAATCTAACGGCATGACTGGAACAACTTCAGCCAATGATAACCCTCCTAGTGGGATGGGCTCTGAGAGGAACTGAAGATATTATATCTGACGTTTACAAGGAGATAAACCATACCACAGAGCATCAACTCTCCAAAGAGAATCCTTCTGGGCTTGTAATACGATCAAACCTCAATGCCATTCCACTTAGCTCACCTGTCTCAAACATCTTTACGGCCCTCAACCAGTTAGGCAACCAAGCTGTCATTATCACTTCAGCATACTGGCACAGCAGTGATTTCTCTTTCCTACCAACCCTGGAATCTGCTATAAACAGAGGATTCTTCCTGTGCATTCTTGGTATATACACCAACACCCACTCTCCAACTTGGAGTGTTGGAGCTACCTGCGATGCCAGCTTGGAGGACTCTTGCTTCACTGATGGGCCTAGAGGTCCTGGGAACTCCCAACCATTACACCCGGTCCAATAGATCCCTGCGCTCCTCCAACAACGTCACCCTGGCTCATTAGCCATTCACGCCACTAGAACATGTCTCCAGGAGATGGCCTTCTCTGATCACCTTCCAATCCTTACCAACTTTGATAACATCATCTCCACAGACCCTATTTGTTCATAGGTAGAGATGTCATGTCTGGAAGAAGCCTTCATTGGTTCCAGCCTCCACCACATCCTATCACGTCTCCAGGCCGCATTCACTCCAGGCATCATTGATGAGGTGGTTATTCTCCTCACTACCTGTCTTCAAGAGGCCTGTAATGTCTCCACGAGAAAGAAATCAAAATCTTC